CTGTGGACAGAAAGATTCAAGAGAAGAAAAGTTAGTTCTTTCGGGTATGTTTTTGAATCGGTAAAGGTTAGATATCTCAGAGGTAAAGGAGTTACCTYAAGATATTCAGAAGCATGAGAGAAGGTTGATCTCTCTAGTRAGAAGAGYRWGACATCAAAGGAKTAATGTTCCAGAAGCAGTCAAGTTTTCAAGGTAACCTCATTATCGAAAAAGTTGCTAGCAAAGACGAAGGACAAAGAAACAGGTTGGTTTCTAAGAGCTCTTGTCATTCGATAATSAAAATCCAAGGGAATGGAGAAYAGGATATGTTACCTGTGAGGAAGAATCAGAAATCATGGAGTGTCGATTCTAGTTCAAGGTGGAGCTGCTAAAGAAAGGAACTAAGTTAGAAGTTGCATTAAAACTTGAAGAATGCATAGTTCAGGTTCTTACAAATGATTCAATAAGAGGTTAATTCAAAGCTCAGTGCACATGAGATGAATTAACAAGTCGACAAAAAGAATCAGTTTTGTGAAGAAGGTTACCTGAATTTATTTCTAAGGAGCAGAAGAACATGGTTGTTCAAAGAAGAATCTGCAAAGAAACAAGGTCAAAGACAAAGGGTTTGGTAAACTGAAATTCCAGAAAATTCGAACAGTAAGACAGAGAGACAGTCAAGGGTTCGATGGTTCCTAAAGAATTTCAGAAGAGACAATGATTGGCGACAGAGGAATCGCTGGGATATGCATATTTTCATGTTGAAATTGCATAGGGGTTTCACTATCAATCAAGAGAGAAGGGTATAAGGGTTCGGTTATGTCAAAGTACATAAAGGTTTAAGGTTGAGAATGACCTGCGGTTTCTAGAAGATTGGTGAAGAAGAGATGTCATGAGAAGAAGCATAGCCGTCATGGTTTTTAGGATGATTTTGCGATCTCGAAAAAGGAGTCATCGGGAAAGGAAGCAAGAGGGAGAGTCGCGAATCTCTCTCAAACTGCCTGAGCCCAAATATCATAGATCGACGGTGAATCATTCGCCGGAGTTGAAGTTACAAATTGGAGAATCTCATCGAGAAAATCATACCAAGTCGGAGGTGGACATCCTGCAGCATCGATGGCCATCTCTAGTTGACGAAGGTGAAGACGGAAGCTTGATGACGGTGTAGTAACAAGTAGCCGGATCTGACAAAGCATCTCGCCGGAATTTGTATCTCCATATGAAAGGAGAAGCCTCGTGTTTTCTCTTATCTTCGAGAAAGAGAAATGGAGCAAAAGGTGAAGGCTGGTCGGTGACGACAAGGAAGATGTCACCAGTAGGAACTGAGGAGACGAAGGCGCGGCAAGGGACAACGACGGCCACCAGAATTGTGTCACCGTCATTTCACTATCAAAAGAGCAAAGGAAAAGCTAGGGGATCGATTTTGTCTCATGGAGGACGAGAGGAGAAATTGATTGGGCCCAAGGTGGAGATTGTAAATGAGATGGGCCTAAATCAATATTCTGACCTAAGCATTGAATAGTCCAATACATTTGTTTTCTTTTATGCCTTGAGTCGGTTTTC